TCAGAGAAAAGTGAGAGCAAGAGCGAAAGCGAGAGCGAGAGAGAGAGAGAGAGAGAGAGAGAGAGAGAGAGAGAGAGAGAGAGAGAGAGAGAGAGAGAGAGAGAGAGAGAGAGAGAGAGAGAGAGAGAGAGAAAGCAGCTAAAGACAGGTAGTTAGAGCAGGTGAACAAAAGTTGTGCAACAGAGGGCATCACGTAATCTATGCTTATCTCCAACTCTGAAATAGGGCTTGTGGCATCGTTTTATAACCCCCCACCCACTCTCTCGCCCTCCCCCCCCTACTTATAATTCCTGACCCTTCTCTTTCTTCTCCTCCTTCTATTTTCCTCTTCTGTCTTGCCTCTTCCTCCATTCCCTTTCCTTTTATGATTCTTCGTCCTTTTTTTCCACTACCCACTTCCATCCTCTCCTTCGGTTCTCTTCTCCTCCATTTCCTCGTCCCTTCTTTATTCCCCTCCCTTCCTTCTTTTTTTTTAAATTCGTATATCCCTCCCTTATATCTCCCTCCCCCCCCCCCTATTAGCTAAACCTTCCCCTCCCCTCATCTCTCTCCCTTTGTCCCTCCTCCCCCCTCACTAAACCTTTTGCCTCTCCCTTAGTCATCTCCCTCTCTCTCTCCTCCCCTTTCTTACACTCCGCCCCTCCCTCACCTCCCTCCCTCTTTCTCTCTCTTTCTCTCCTTCACCTCCCTCTCTCTTTCTCTCTCTTTCTCTCCCTCACCTCCCTCTCTCTTTCTCTCTCTTTCTCTCCCTCACCTCCCTCTCTCTTTCTCTCCCTCATCCTCCCGACCCCCCCCCCCCCAGCCTAACCTCAGTCTCCCTCATGCCTCCTAAACCCTTTGTCTCTCTCTTATTCATCTCCCTCTTCTTACACTCCGCCCATCTCTCGCTTCTTTCTCTCTCTCTCTCTCTCCTCCCTCCCTAAACCTCCTCCCTTCCCCCTCTTCCGCTCTTCCCCACTTCTCTCCCCCTCCTCCCCTCCCTCTCCCTCCCCTTCCTCCTCCTCCTTCTTCCCCCTCTTCTCCTCCCTCATCCCCCTCCCTAAACCTCCTCCCACCCCCTACCTCTCCTCCCTCAACCCCCCCCTCCCTAACCCTCCTCCAACTCCCCCCCTCTCCTCCCCTCCCCCCCCCCTTAACCTCCTCCCACCCCCCCACCTGTCCTCCCTCCTCCCACCCCCCATCTCTCCTCCCCTCCCCTCCCCCCCCTCCCCTCCTTCCCACACCTTCCCACACCCGTCCTTCCTTTGGCCTGATCTTCCTTTGGCTAATCTTCGGTGGAAAGGAAAGTCTGTAGATAGACTTTAGATATGTATCCGCATCTCTCTTTTTTTTTTCTTTCTTTCTTCATTCGTCTCCTACTCCTTTCTCCTTTGGTTGTTTTTCTCTATTCATTTCCTTCTCTCTTTTCCTTTTCATTATTTTTTTTTTCTTTAGGTGTGATTTTATTATCTTTCATTCTTCTCTTTTCTTTCTGTTCTCGTTTTTTTTTTGATAGATTTTTTTCTCTCTCTCTTCTCTTCGCCTTTCATTTGTTTTGCATCTCTTCCTTATTTCCTCATTCTCCTCTGTTTCTTCCTGCATTCTACTCCTTACGCCTTCCTCGCTTTTCTCTATTCGTCTCGTCTCGTCCCTTTCTTTCCTCTTTTCTTCACTTCTTCCCTTTTTTCTCTCCCTTTTCCTTTTACTCCCCCTTCCTATTTTCCCTCTTCGTTTCCTCCGTCTCTTCCCTTCCCTCCTTCTCACCCCCTTCTATCCCCCTTCCCTCCCTTTTCCCCCTTTCCTTCCTCTTTTCCCCCATCTCCCTCTTCCTTCCCCCCATTTTCCCCACCACCCCTTCCTCCCCCCCACTCCCCCCTTTCCTTTAATCCCCCCCACTCCCCCCTTTCCTTTAATCCCCCCCACTCCCCCCTTCCCCCCTTCCCCTCTTCCCCTCTTCCCCTCTTCCCCTTGTTAGTCTTGCCTTGTTCTTACACTGGTTGACCTTCCTTTGACTGTCTCGGAAACCTCTGGATGTTGATGAAACGAGTGACTTCGGAGGTTGAAAAATGGAACTAAGAAAAAGGGAAGGAGAATTACAAATAAGCGTGCGTGGGATAGATAAATGGATTGATATACACACACACACACACACACACACACACACACACACACGCACACACACACATACACACACACACACAGACGGAGAGAGGGAGATAGTTATATATATATATATATATATATATATATATATATATATATATATATATATATATATATATATATATATATATATATATACATACATATATACAGACGGAGAGACAAACAGACAGACAGGCAGACAGACAGACAAACAGATAGAAGCAAATAAAGAATACATATACATATAAAAAGAGAGGCAGAGAGAACGGGAGAAAAAAACAGAGATACAGTAACCCATAAAAAAGAAGCATTTAAACTTAGAGAGAAAGATGTAGAAATACAGAAGAAGAAAGAAATGAGGGAAGTTAAAAAGCAACAAGAACAGCAAAAACAAGTTACCGCCAGAGTGCAGTGCCAACACCACGACCGTAATAAAGCCAAGGATCGCATTCACCATATCGCTCCGGACCAATCTCTCTCTCGCTCGCTCTCGCTCTCTCTCTCTCTCTGTCTCTTTCTCTCTCTCTGTCTCTGTCTCTTTCTCTCTCCTTCTCTCTCTCTCTGTATGTCTCTTTCTCTCTCCTTCTCTCTCTCTGTGTATGTCTCTTTCTCTCTCCTTCTCTCTCTCTCTCTCTCTCTCTCTCTCTCTCTCTCTCTCTCTCTCTCTCTCTCTCTCTCTCTCTCTCTCTCTCTCTCTCTCTCTCTCTCTCTATCTATCTATCTATCTGTCCGTCTCTCTCTCTGTCTCTCTCTCACTTCTCTCTCTCTCTCCCAACCTCCTTCCCTCCCTCCCTCAAAACACCTCCGCTCCCCATCTCTCTCTTTTTCTCCCTCCCTCCCTCTCTGTCTCCATGCTCTCCCCAACGCCTCACACCCACCACCACCGCTGCCACCACCACAATCACCACCACCACCATCGCCGCCGCCGCCGCCGCCGCCAAACACCTCTGCACTTGGGACTGCGACTTAGTGTGATCCCTATGTGAAGTCCACCCTTACAGCCTAAACATGGCGGCATTAGGCAACTGCGAAGCATCCACCGAGATCCGGTAAGCTAGATTAATGCTCTGCCAGAAGGATTGCATGAGTGATATCAGCGCTGAAGTTTGAGTCTTCCTTTTTGTAACCTTTATCTGATAATCCCCGTCTCTCCTCTGCTGGGATTTCGGTAGCACACACACACACGCGCGCGCTCCCTCTTTCGCGGGGAAGGAGAGGGAGAGAGGAAAGGAGGAAGGGAAGAAGAGGGGAAGAAAGGAAGAGAGAAAAGGAGGCAAAAAGAAAAGGAGGATGGGAGGAAGAGAGAAGAATGGAAGAGAGAAAAAAGGAGGAAGAGAGGAAGAGAGAAGAGAAGCAAAAGGAAGTAGATTGGGGAGAAGGAAAGGAGAGGTGAGAGTTGAGGAATGAGAGAGAAATAATGGAAACAGATGGTGGGAAGGGAAAAGTAGAAGGGCAGGCAGATAGCAAGATGATTAGACAGCGTGGAAAAGACAGACAGAGTAAAGAAAATGAGAGAGAAAGAGAGAGAGAGAGAGAGAGAGAGAGAGAGAGAGAGAGAGAGAGAGAGAGAGAGAGAGAGAGAGAGAGAGAGAGAGAGAGAGAGAGAGAGAGTCAGAGACGTGGATATAGATAGTAAGAGAGAGATAGAGAGAGAGAGTTGGCTACAGAGTGTGAAAGAGAGTTTGGAGCTAACCTGCCAACCACCAGCGAGTTTATATAATCATTTCTAGCTTTCGAAATGCTTGGAGTGTGTGTGGCCGCTGCTGAGTGATTAGATACTTGCAAGTAAGCGAGAGACTGCCACAGAAGGGGAGTGAGAGGAAAAAGAAAGGGAAACAGAAACAAGGAGAAGAAAGGGAAAAAGGAAGAAGAAGAAGAAGAAGGAGAGTGGGAAGAAGAGAGTGTGCCAAAGGAGAAAAGAAAGGATATGTTAGAGAGAAACGGAGGAGAATGAATGACTGTGTGTGTGTGTGTGTGTGTGTGTGTGTTTGTGTGTGTGTGTGTGTGTGTGTGTGTGTGTGTGTGTGTGTGTGTGTGTGTGGGTGGGTGGGTGGGTGTGGGTGTGTGTGAAAGAAAGACTGAGCTAAAAAAACAGAAAGA